GTGTGTGTGTGTGTGTGTGTGTGTGTGAGAGCGGGGGTTGGTCTACATTTAGGTAAGTCATTGTGGGGTTGCCATAGTAACAGATTTGTGCTGTAATACGTCTAAAGAGGTTGCCTCAAATGGTCTGTAGGTGGGCTGAGTTCATTAAATCAATTGTTTGTTCTCATTATTGTATCTGTTCTCATTTCTTGCGTCTTACTGGAGTCTAATGTGCAGTGATCATTTTTTGTCACACTTTTTTGACAAAGATCCAATCAATTTAGTATTTCATTTCATAATTTGTTTACATTTTTAATCACAAAAATCGCATCTAATTTATATGACATTTTAATATAATAATAAAGCCTATTTCATGATCTTTTTAAAAAATTTTTTACCTGTACAAGGTTTATGTAAACTTTTGACAACATCTGTATATACACTAATGTGCAGTGATAATTTTCAAACTTTTTTCCAGCCAGTTCTATCAAACCTTTACAATTAATCCAGAACGTGGCAGCAAGATTAATTTTTAATGAGCCAAAATGAATGCACGTCACACGTTTGGTCGGACGTTTATCAATTTGCACTGGCTACCAATAGCTACTCGCATAAAATTCAAGGCATTGATGTTTGCCTACAAAACCACCACTGGCTCTGCACAACTTTACCTAAATTCATTACTTCAGACATACAGGTGCATCTCAATAAATTAGAATGTCGTGGAAAAGTTCATTTATTTCAGTAATTCAACTCAAATTGTGAAACTCGTGTATTAAATAAATTGAGTGCACACAGACTGAAGTAGTTTAAGTCTTTGGTTCTTTTAATTGTGATGATTTTGGCTCACATTTAACAAAAACCCACCAACTCACTATCTCAACAAATTAGAATACTCCATAAGACCAATAAAAAAAACATTTCTAGTGAATTGTTGGCCTTCTGGAAAGTATGTTCATTTACTGTACATGTACTCAATACATGGTAGGGGCTCCTTTTGCTTTAATTACGGCTTGCACTCTATTCATTTACTAACTGCTTGTTTTCTTAAAAAAAACTAAGACTAGCTTCTCTATTCTCTTTCTATTCTATATATTCCTTTTATTTTTATTTATTATACAATTAACAAAAGCAAAAAGGCCTCTAACACTAGCTTGCTCTATTCTTTTTCTATTCTATCTGTTTTCTTTTAATTTATTATATAATAAAAAAAAAAAACCTTGCAACATGTACTATGTTAAGCTAACTGAGACTTGTTATAGCATTGCGTATCATTGCTCTTTTGTTGATTTTGAATGCTTCCAATGTCCTCATTTGTAAGTCGCTTTGGATAAAAGCGTCTGCTAAATGACTAAATGTAAATGTAAGTCATTGTATGGGTTTTCACTGTAGATTATACGACTTGTTCTTTTTCACTTCTAGATATTGTATATTCAACAGTATTTTACTGTAAAGTTACATGAAATGTAATCTGATGTTTAAAGGAAGGATAAACCTATACTTACTACAATGTTTGGATCGTGCAGGTTTGACCAGCTGACAGGTTGAACACTTGACTCCCTGCTGGAAGAGTTTTTCATCATACTGGTAGACCTTCAGTTCTGCAGTATGGTTTGCCTTTGTCAATGTGCCTTCAAAAGAAAACTCAAATTAAATGTAGAGATATTGGATTTATTTCTAATGGAAATGGGACAATTGCTCATTTGCGAACCTGGGTCTCTGCTACAACAGAGGTAGAACAGATAAGACTTCATTGCAAGGAGAATGTAAGGAATGCACAAACTGATTGAACTTGTGCCCATGTCCAAACAGAAGCCAAAGACCTCATAGGAGAATTCTCCATACACAACCACTTCAAGTAACAGGTGCAAGTAAAGGAAGAAGTTGTTCCTGATTTGAAAAATGAACAGACATAGGATTAGAGGAAATATACTTGACAGTTTGATGTTCAGGGAACACATATAAAATGTATACCTTGAATACACTGCATAGTCTAAATAAATGTAAGTCGCTTTGGATCAAAATTTCTGCCAAATGCATGCATGTAAAAATTCCTTAAATGGGTCAAGTAGATATGTATCAGATCTTTTTTAATTATTATTTTATAAGTTTAGGAAGGACAGTGCACATTAATAAACATTACTAGATAAGTTATACAGTCAGTTATGTAGTCTTCTAAATATGTTTAATATACACTACCGTTCAAGGTTTTGGGGTCAGTAAGGGGTTAATTTTTTAATAAATTAATACTTTTATTCAGCAACGATGCATTAAATTGATCAAACGTGAATTTTACACAGCTACAAAATTAAATAAAATTCTATTCTAATGAACTTTCTATTCATCAAAGTACCTTTGATGGAACAGCCTGTGCATAGTTCTGTAGCAAATGCTTTGGAGACATTGTGGGATCCATGGAGAGACAATCTAAAAGAAAACATGATATAAGTTCTATTTTAAACAACAAAAGAAATCATTAAGTTTGCAGGACTTTACTTACCCCTGTGATCTTGTCCAAAAGCAGACCGAGAGGAGTCTGCTGATGTCCTGAATACTTACAAACCAGAGCAATGCAGGTGAGCACCACCGCCACATATATACCAAACAGAGTGAGGAAGTCCATTTGCCACTACCTAAGCAGCACAGTACTGTGAGTGAGTAATTAATTTCACTTATTAGATGTTTATATACGACGAGAAAGAGCGCTTAAATCAAAACCAAACGTAGTAGCATGTAAGATAACTATTTATTTAATAAACCATACTGTTTAAGAGTTTTTTTTAAACAATGTTGGACATACATTTGAGCTAATGTACACAGAAAGAGGCAAGCGAAGGAATTTTTACGTTTATTAACCTTTATTCACCTGAACACCATTCTCGCACCTTTTTTTCCCGTGCAGACAGTAGTGTGGTGAAGTAGACGGGAATACGGAACTCTGTTGCCAGATCTCCACACAAAACAAAAAACCTGTTCTGTCAAAACATACAGACTTTCCTTATCAAATAAGTATAAGGAGGTATGTAATTATATAATTTTACATACAATTATTTAAACGATTTACACTACTGTATTCTGAAAATAAACGACCAGCAACTAGTTAGTTATATGTATAAGCGAATTTTTAAAAGTTGAAAACAATCCCAAAGCGGATATGGCAACACTGATACGGATCATACTCACTACAACTGTGCTGTCAAAGTAAAAGTCGTCCCAGACTTCTTTTTAATTCTTTACTTTTTCTTTTTTTCTGGCTCGATATTTTGAAGTCATTCAGTTCATCTTTAAATATAGTCTGCAAATTACTTATTCCTTATTTCAAATAAACTCGTCTTTCTCAAGATTAGGATTTTTGGGTAAAATGTAGGTTATTATATTAATATCTGGATCATAAATAATTGGACAATGTCGTTTATTAAAATGCAGCATGCAATATTGGTCTGCTAACATACCAACTTTATGAGTACAATACAGCCTTTATATTTTCTTCTGAACTTCAGTTTTTCCACAAGTTTATTTGTTCATCAAAAACTTTGAATTAGTTGCAATTTTCTTCATTCGTTTCAGAAGCAGGTGGCTGATAATGTTAAGTGCACTTGTTTTCAGTTCAGGGTTGCCATAGCCTTCTAACTGTTGCCTCTTACAGTTATCATGTTACAGACCTGCACATTCACTACAGTGGTGATGCCTCAAAGGACAGGGATACCACTAAAGCCCTTCGAGAATACTCCACCGAGCAATGGAAGCAGGTATTCTCTTTTAAAATATGCGTGCATTTGTAAATCTAAATATTAACAATATCTTCATGAATATAAAGAAAGTTTCTGTGTTTTTAAAGTTGGTCTTTTATTGCACTTTTGGTTGTACATCATTAACATAATTGTGAGCTAACGCAAATCATTGAAGGATGTAGACTGCTATTATTTTTGGATGGACCAAATCTCATTTTTAATGTTTATGGATTGTACTGTAATAGCTAAGTTATTCTGTTTTGTAATATGTTAAATGATGTCTAATTTATTTCTGCATTTATAAAAGACAGAGGTCATTATTATTATTTTAAAATCATAAAAAGAGCATAGAGTCCTTACAGTCAGTGCAAAATTATATAAAAAAGTACTGTTTTATTGCAATACACTAATATTTTTTTTTTACATGCACAACCACTTTTCTGTTGTATTGGTAAGTTGAGATGTTGATTGAGGAACAGTGTGTTTGGAGATACAAGCATTGGCTCTAAATAATTCAGTTAGCCCTGTATAGCTTGTCTTTGCTTCAGTCCTTTACATAATACCTCTATTACGTTTTACTGCTAGTTATACTGTTTCCGCATTCAGTTTGTAACCTTGAAAGTGAAACCGTGCTACACTTTGTCATGTGTTTATACTGTGGCTTGTTCATATTTATTATCTGCCTGAGCCAGTACTCCAAAAAAAAAAAAAAAAATCTTTTGAAGCCCCCCCTTCCACAAAAATAATATTTGCAGGATACAAGTATCATTTTTGAAAATCTTCCTGCCCCTTAACTTTTGAACGATAGTGCACATGATATAATAATACTTTAAATACTTGCATGCATCACTTCACTGACTTCAGAATGTATTTGGACACTTAAGAAATGCTTTGGAAGCCCCCGCTTGCACCTGAGCTGCTTGTCAGCTCACTCAGTAAATCAATCCTTCCTCCCAAATTCCCCCCGGATGCATGACAACATGTGTCCTGCCATGTGGCACGAGAGATCTCAAGATGCAGCATTTAATCTGTCTAATCCAGAGCAAGAGCTTTAATAGCACTGCTCCTGTTCAAAGATGTGTGACTGCGCTCTTCAGTGCATTCAGACGTTCTAATTATCCACCATAGTCCTGACAGATCCCCAAGCTGATACTGGGCTACTTTTTGTCCCTTGGAGAGACAGCTCGAAGAGAGAGTATGGGAAGGAGGTATTTATAGAGAAATGGGGCCTCACTTTACACTTTTTGGAGAGAGAATCATTAAGGATCTGTGCTAGGTGTCCCAGTTTCTTGATTTGAGCTCTGCAGGCAGGACTAGCAAGACTCGCCAGAGATGCAGAATCAACTCATCGACAACATCACTCTGGCACTCGATGCAGTGTCACTCTTTTTTTAAGTGGCGGTGCTCTGCATGCCACACGATGATGGGGGGCATTCGAAAGGCATTTCCCCTGAAGCATGGTGATGTGCAGTAAGAGGATCTCATGGAAGACGTGGACCAGGCGTTTTGTTCTCCAAATTTTTGATACCTGTTGAATTACGACAAAATGAAGAAATTCCTCCAGAATAAGAAAGGAAGATACTCCTTACGGCAGAACAAGCCGGGTCCTCGATATCCGCCCAAAGATTTTTGTAAGTGTTTAGTGTTCAAGAATTTTGTATTTGTAGGATGATTTTCTGATTTTCTGATTCTGATTCTGATTCTGATGATGACTTTCAGCAGCACATTTAAAGTCAGTTTAGGTGTGCATGGAAGCTAATGTTTTGATGAATGACCTTCTGTCAATCTACAGGCTTAGGCTTTGCATGGACCGGCCCACAAACGCAATATTTTACCAGCCATTTAATTGGGAATGTTGATGTGTGAATGTTCTGGTTTTACTAGAAAGGACTTGCTATGCTACAAACATGAGTCTCATGTTGCTGATGCTGTGTTCAGGCACATCTGTGCTCTGATATCGGATGATTTGGGAGCCTCTGTTCCTTTTTCAATGAGGTCAATGTTACTGGGAGGTCTAATGTGTCAGCTGAGACTCTGTATTTAGTGAAGGTTGTATGGCTCTCTTTATGTGACTGCATTACTTTGTCTTGTCAGGATAGGCAAAAACTGACTTCACTTGACATATTTTAGCATCTAGGTGTATATATTTTAGGTGCTTGATATATTTTAGTGTCTGTACAAGCATGTGATGTCCAGCAAATTCCATTTTTCTCAGGAAGCTTGATAATTTTGCTGTGTGTATGTAGGTCTTGTTTACAACAGGCTGATCAGACATTTGAGCCTAGTTGCTCATTAGAGACCCACATATCCTCTTATTTGCCATCTTTCTTACAGTCCTCACCATGCCAGCATCCAACCAGGGCTGGCCAGAGGAGTTTGGCTTTCAGATAGGGGGGAATGGGCCCAGCTACATCTTGACTGTGGAGGATGGAAGCAGTGCTCATCTGTCTGGACTGCAACCTGGAGACCAGGTCTTGGAGATTGAGGGGCAGAACGTTTCCAGTCTTAGTGCTCAAGAGGTCATTGCCCTTGCCCAATCACACCGAAACATCCCGCCCAGTATTGGAGTAGTTTCACGCATCCAGCAGGTGGGTCAATGACATGACACTTTTTTTTTTGTCTTAATGTATTCATTGTAACATCAGGGCTATTATTGTTAACTAAAAATATTTTGATTAATTAAATAAAACTGGATGAAAACTAAATTAAATTAAATTAAATGCAAATATATAACAAAACGAAAATGAGAAATTGCTTTGGAAAGTCGAAGCACTGAAATTACGAACTGGAAATAAATGAAATACACAATTGGACTGAACTAAAAACTAAATTGAAACATCTAATAGAAATGACAAAATCACAAAACAAAATTACTAAAAATGTACCTACAATTAAAATGAAACCTGAGAAAATAAAAGCTAATTTAAACAAAAACAAAATGTCAATACAAACTATAATATACAATTTATACATACATCGATTTAAATACACCTATTATATGAAAAAATATATATTTTTGAGGGCATAAGGTGATATGATTATATCAATAAAAAAGCCTAATTAAAATAATGAAATTCTTAAAACACTTCACACACACACACACACAAACACACACACACTTATATATTTATTTTGTATTTCATTTAATTATTTATTATTATTTTTTATTTTTTTTTACAAAGCAAGGTTAGTTCAGGTTGTAAAATGCACTAAAATTACGAACTGGAAATAAATGAAAAGTACAGCTGAACTGAACTAAAACTAAAATAAAAATAAAAATAAATTAAGCCTAAATAGTAATATTAAAACATCTAATAAAAATGACAAAATCACAAAACAAAATTACTAAAAAATTACCTACAATTAAAATGAAACCTGAGAAAATAAAAGCTGATTAAAAAAAAACTCAAAATGTCAATAAAAAAACTATAATATAACAATGCATACATATATTGATTTAAATACACATATTCTATGAAAAAAATATATATTTTTGATGGCATAAGGTGATATGATATCAAGAAAGAATAAAACCTCATTAAAATAATGAAATTCTTAAAAAACAATTCACACACACACTTGGAAGGAGGAAGAGACTCACACAGAGGATTAGAAAAATAGCAATAATGTTTATTTTCAACACTGAGTGCAGGAGATTCGGGGAGGTGATCAGCTCTGGGGACCCATGACCGTTCCTCTGGTCCATAGCCTTCCCAGTCCACAAGATACTCTAGGAGACCACCACGGCGCCGGGAATCCAAGATCTCGTCGACCTTGTAGATGGTACCTTCCTCCTGGATTAGCAGTAGAGGGGATTCTTCCGTCGGGCCAGGCTCTGTGGAGAGAGAAACAGGTGGATGGTGAGGTTTCAGCAGTGAGACATGGAAGGATGGGTGAATTCTGTACTGTGAAGGGAGTTGGAGTTGATGTGACCGGGTTTATCTGTTTGATGATGGAGAAGGGGCCAACATATCTGGGACTGAGCTTCTTGCAGGGCAGGTGCATCCTGATGTCCCGTGTTGACAGCCATACCTTTTGACCGGGCTGGCTGGCAGAAGGTTCGAAGAATTCCATCATATCTGAAGACGTTGTTAAACATGATTGAGGAAGCGTTGAAGTTCCTTGACCGTGGTTGGAACAGGCCAGTTTCGGATGGCATTAACCTTAGCAGTGAGATGGTGCTGTTGGCCCCTGGGTGGCCAGTGCCCAGAGGAGGTGTGAACGGAGTGAATTAGGGAAGTGCGCTGTGCTCTGGTGACGTATTGCACTCCAGGTGGGCAACCTGGCGGAGTGGGCGTGGAAGCATTGGTGGAGGTGACTGGGTTATCCTTCCATTGGATGGGGCTTACGAAGATTTCCTTGGGGTTTTAAGACCTCCGCAACGTGGTGGCGATGTTTGGCCATGCTCCGGGTTTCCATAGCTGTGGGTAGACCCTTGAGGGGAAGAAGACGGCAAGATTTAGAGAATCGATCAATGACTACAAGAATACATGTGTTACCATCTGATGCTGGTAGATCTGTGATGAAATCCACTCCTAGGTGTGACCATGAGCGGTTGGGAATGGGCAGAGGAAGGAGCTTGCCAGATGGTAGGTGGCGTGGGCTCTTGGAGATTGCACATTCGGAACAGCCCTGAACGAACCTTCTCACATCCCTGGCCATGTTGGTCCACCAGAAGCGATCTTTTAGCAGTGAGATGGTGCTGTTGGCCCCTGGGTGGCCAGTGCCCAGAGGAGGTGTGAACGGAGTGAATTAGGGAAGTGCGCTGTGCTCTGGTGACGTATTGCACTCCAGGTGGGCAACCTGGCGGAGTGGGCGTGGAAGCATTGGTGGAGGTGACTGGGTTATCCTTCCATTGGATGGGGCTTACGAAGATCTCCTTGGGAATAATGGATTCTGGTTCCTCACTGACCTCCTCTGGAGCATGAAGACGAGATAGAGCGTCCGCTTTCACATTCTTGGGACCAGGACGATAGGAAATGGTGAAGTTGAATCTCGTAAAGAAGAGAGCCCATCTTGCCTGACGAGGATTGAGTCTCTTGGCGTCTCGTAAGTATTGCAAGTTTTTATGGTCAGTGAGGACGCTGAATGGGTGGTGTGCTCCCTCCAACCAATGCCTCCATTCCTCTAGGGCTAGCTTGATAGCCAGGAGCTCCCTGTTGCCGATGTCATAATTCCTCTCCGCTGGATTGAGCTTGCGTGAGAAGAAGGCACATGGATGGAGTTTGGCTGGAGTCCCCTGCTGCTGGGAAAGTACGGCTCCCACTCCTGTAGTGGAAGCGTCCACCTCTACCACGAATGGTTTGTTGGGGTCTGGATGGATGAGGAGCAGGGCAGAAGTGAAGGCTTTCTTAGGGACTTCAAAGGCCTCCGT